AAAAATATGTTTTTCGAAACGTTTTTTGGGTCCCCGCCTGCTGGCGTCCTCATCCTTGTTTCTACTCGCTCATCTTTCACTTGCCATGTATCTTTGACCACCCACGCAACTTGTCCCCTCAGCAGCACGCTCCCTCCCTCCCATCTTACCAACAGTCCCACACCATCCTCTCTACTACCTTGATACTCCCCTACCGCCATGTCGGATATAGGTCAGAGGAGAGCGGAGGTTGAGACAATCATGAACATCCTGCTGGTTGTGGCTACGCTTCAGCAGACGCTCAAAACTACGGATGAAGTGCAAAAGTTGCATAAGCTGGCGCAGCACACTTATTATATGTGGGGGCAAGAAGTCAACGTGGTAGACACGTGGTATGCACATGGTATGCATGTGCCGTTCCTGGCAAAAACCATCTCAGGTGATTTTTCAAAAATCACTTTGGCCTGAAACCCGCAAAACGTTTTTTTCGTCCGCGACGTTTTTGCTGCCAGCCAAAAACGCCCGACAGAAGCAAATATCGTCCGAGATGAAAAATCACCCGCGGTGATTTTTTGATATTTGAAACATACTACTATTTGTTGACAAGTGTTGGTTCAAGCTTACCTGGACCCACTGCAAGTAAATGACCTTCATCCATCCAGTCTTAGGTGTTAAGTCTAGCTAGGGTCAGCTGTCACACCTCTCAGTATTGGAAAGCAAATACAAGGCTTAGATATCAAACCTAACTCCTTGACAGCTTTTCATCCTCAGTCTGGTGGTCAAAGCAGACACATCAATCAAGTTATTGAAGTATCTCAGAACCTACTACAATCACAATCAAGTCATAGGCCATCCTTATTGGATCTAGCCAAGTTCAGTTATTACAACTCAGTGTGCCATGCCTTGACCAAACATTCTCCTTTTAAAGCCAATTATAGTTATCATTCTGCTGATCTGTCAATATCAGCTCAAGGTCAACATCAGCTCAAGTCTCAAATTAAGTCCCAGATGCAGAGTCTCATCTTGAGAGGCTACCAGATATCCATGAGCAGCTCTTCTACAATCTCAAGAATGCTCAGGAAATTCAGGCTTGATTCTATGATCAAAAGATCAAAGAAGTCACAGAGTTCAATGGTGGTCTTCTTTTTGAAGTTGGTAATCAAGTACTCCTGAAAAACAAGAACAACACGTCTCTTCAACCATCCCTGAAATTTGTAAGCAGTGGGCCACTGCTCACAACTTAGTCATTGAGAAAATATCTTCAACGACCCTCTTTCAATTGTTAATATCTCAAACGACCTCTTTCTTCATGAATATATCTAAAACGACCCTTTTGTCTATTTGGGGCATTCAGAGCATTCTGGCCGCACTGGTGTCCTGAGTAGGTGACTCACATGACTTATGGCTCCTCTTACGCCGCTGTTGCATCCACTTTTGCCTCCACTTTTCACGTCCACCTGTAGCTGCCAACTTGGATCAAACCTCGAATCATTGCATCTCAAAACAAATCTCAATACCAGCTGGGGACATCTGGACTATCTTCTTGACCACCCAGTCATTCGATCCCTTCTTCTCCTTTTTGACTCTCACTCTGTACTGGCATGACCTCGATTCCGGACTCTCTTCGCAATCCGACCCCCCCTCTTCATCTTCATGTTTGTCTTTCTTGTGTGTTGTCAGACAGCCAAAAGACCGCAAGGTACTGCTACCCTTCAAGGGAGTGGGTATAGAGTTGTTCTGGGCAATTCAGTACCATGTCACCCGTACAGTGACATCGTCCATGGACCGGAAGCGCGTGCCAACTTCTAGAAGGGGAGTGTCATATTTGGCGTTGGGATCTGCAATCCAACGCGGATCAGTCGCCCCCTCCCCAGTGTCAGCCTCTTCATCGGCTGACATTCCATCCTCTTCTTCATCTTCCGGCAGTAGGAACGGGCGGATACGGGCGGATGTCAACAACACGACCATTCATCACAGCAAGACCATCGGTCGTGTCGTTGCGAATGATATCGATGGTGCTTTCGTCGGTGTCCAAAGAAGACGGTGGCCCGGAGGCAGGTTCAAAGGCGGAGGAATCTATACTGGAAGAGCTGTTTTGAATAGAAGTCGAGGATAGTAGAAGTCAAGGATAGCAAAATGCAACAAACATGATGCAGAACAAACAACACACCCCGTGCCGCATCTGAGCATGCCTAAATGAGGTGCACATGGCTTTGCCAGGGTAAGCCAGGGAAGGAGCCGGAGGAGCGCGGCCAGAATGCTCCAAATGCCCCAAATAGGCAAAAGGGTCATTTTAGATACATTCATGAAAAAGGAGGTTGTTTTAGATATTAACAATTGAAAGAGGGTTATTTAAGATATTAGGGGAATTCAATTTGGCGTTCTTAAACTTGCGGTCTTAAACTGGCGGCCTCAGGGTCAGGGCAGGGCTCAGAGATAAGCACGTGGCTGGCCCTGCAGAGGTCTGGACCCGATTAGATCCCGTCTGTCTCGATGTGTCGACCATGTCCGACAGTGATGTCGAATGTATTTCTTTTGCTCTTGCCCCAGTTAATCGTGCGGTTGCGGGTTCGAGCCCCGCCGGAGGCTTCTTTTTGTCTTTTTGGTTGCCCCTTCTATGCTGCGACACTGCTTGCCTCTTCTTCATAGTGCGATATCGAAGCTATAGATCTGTTGAGAGTAAGAAAAATGTGCATCTTTGATCTGCATGAAGGTCTCTTGGGCAAGAGACGGGTCACACAGTCATGAATAGGGCTAAAGTACATCACTCGTACTCAAAGCACATAACGGGCGTGGGTTGGCATGTTGAGAGTGGATAAATGTGGTTGGTGTTTGATGAAAGGGGAGCGGAAGGGATGATTTTGCGATGGATAGAGAAGAGAAATAAAATGACAATGCGTCGCATTTTTCTGTCAATTGAGTATGTTCTCAAGTTTAAGACTGCTCTGTTTAAGAGTGGCTCCAGACCCACTCTTAAACTTGCGGTCTTAAACTGGCAAAATTGCCTCTTCAGGAAGGTCCGAATCGGAGCTGTCAAGATGCGAAAAAGAACTCTGCTCAGGGTAGGATCTGCATGTGCCTGAGCCCTGACCACCTCCTGACCACCTAAGTGAGCCAAATGGTTTAAGACCGCTCTTAAACGCCAAATTGAATTCCCCTATTTTCTCTTTAGTCATTTTCAGCCGCGTTTCGGCGATCACCGCCGCTTGCGACTTCGCTGTTTCTGCTCGCGTCTCGGCTATCGCCGACCCAACTGTCTGCTTCCGTTCTTTGGTTCCACTTTCCCAGTTTCCTGCCACTTCGCTATCTCCGCTTTCTCCGTCCGTTTTCGTTCCGTGTTTCCGTTATCCTGCCACTTTTGGCGTTTTGACTTGTGTGTTTCATTACACGACTGCCTTTACACAGGGACAGGGATTGCAGGCATGTGGAATCTTGGGTCTTTATCCATCTTCTTTCTCCACTTGCCCCATATCTCCCTGTCCCTTGTCTCCGTCTTCTCTTTGGTGTGCCTTGCATATATATATTGATGGACATTGTCCAGTTCTCATGCACAAGGGGTCTTGCACACTTCTCAAGGCAAGTACCACACCAACTTAGTGAAGGACTGCTCGCTCGCGAGGTCCTCGCTTACAAAATTAGATCAACACATGCTTGGTCCTTACAAGTCTATTGCCAAGACGTCCTTGCCTTTGGCATTCAAGTTGGAACTTTCCAGTTCATCCTGTCTTTCATGTCAATCTACTCAAACCTTTACAGAAAGGCCATCCCAATCAGCCTCAAGATCCGCCTCCCTGCTATTGAAATTTAAGGAGAAGAACAATTCATCATTAGTATTTATCAAATCTATAAAAATTGCTGCAAGTACGGTTTGGTGATCAGGCCTGCTCTGGGGTGACAGCTGAAGTTATCACCTAGTGTAATCAAAGGTTGAGTCCAGGTACGTGAAGAGGAGTACACAGTTGTGCTTGGATGAGGTTTTGGAAGGAGCAGTAGAGGCTAAAGAAGAAGAGGGGGGGAGAGAAGAGAGTCAAAGAGTTTGTTGAGGTCTCTGTCCCAACACCCAGCCTTTCCTATATACTGTAAGAGGCTTGCCTCATACTCTTCCTGATATACAACCTGTCGACCCTTTTGGCTGCGACTCTCTGTCTTGATTGTTTGGACTGCATACAAGTAAGCATTAGTGGAGAGCAGCCTGTTGCGTTTGAGTGCCTTGACCCAGCAAATGAGTAGCGCTCCTGCTATGCATGCATGCAGGAGGCGGCCTGATAAAGCTGTGGGATGGAGGGCAGAAACAAGAACTCAAACAAATGAGAAGCACCTCCATTCTTGTTTACATAATGTGTAATGCCACATCATTTCAGAGTTTCGCAGAGCTCGCCGCATGCGCAGACGGGGACTTGGTGGAACAGCGATGTGGCTTCTCTTTCTTTGCCCATCATCGTTCCCCGTTCTTTGCCCTTTGCTGTATAGCTCAGGTGTCTGTGTGTGTGTTTCGTTAGAGCTAGGACTGACTTCTGCCCAGAGTCACCGCCTTTTCCTGTCTGTGTGACGTATATGTATTGGGGTCCTGTTTATTTCAGGTTGCACTGCCTCGCTTGATCCTTCACTGTTCCTTGCTGTTCTTCGCCGCTCCTCGTCGTTCTTCCATCCAGTTAGCTCATAGCTGAGACTATCGCCGCTCGCCCCTCCGTTGCCATCGCCAGTGAAGAGGAAGACAACCTCTTACAGAAGCGCCTCCACTCTTGTTTTACACAACATGTATTGCCACATCATTCCGGAGTTCTGCGGAACTTGTGCGCACTGTGGACAGGGCCTTGGTAGAACATTGTCGTGGTTCTTCTTTCTTTGCCCGTTGTTGTTCCCTGTCCTGTGCCCTATTGCTGTATAGCTTAGGTGTCTGTGTGTGCACTATAAGTTAGGACTGACTTCTGCCCAGTCACCGCTCTTCTTTTGTCTGTGTGACACATTTATACATTGGGGTCCTGTTTACAGCTCAGGAATTACACCGCCCCATCTGATCTTCATTGTTCTTTGCCGTTTGTCACCCTGCTTCGCCTTTCCTGTCCAGCACCTCTACAGCTGTGTCAGCTTGCCGTTCTCATCGCCAGTGAAGTGGTAGAACACCACTTACAGAATGTCCATGAAGATTTTCTGAGTGATCTGGGGCCCAATCGATTCATCTGCCATTCTCATTGCTATTGGTAACATCTGCCTTGCCTCTAACCCAAGCTCTTCCACTAACTCCTTGTCAATGACATTGACGGCTGCAACAGAGTCTACTAGCATCTGGCATGAGGGACCATCAGCATGGATGCGAGCTTGGACATGGAGGAGTGGGACTGACTCTTGAGCTGGGCCAGGGGGTGCGGCGGTAGACGCAGCAGGAGCCGGGGGAAACACCGGGGACAGAGACACGACCTGAGGAGGGAAAGCAGGGCAGCTCTAGGAGATATGCCCATGTTGGCAACACCTGAAACAAAGGCCTCACTGGATGAGGTAAGTCCAGGCTGTAGTTCCCTCCGGACCAGACGGGCTTCTGCCTCCGTGGGTGGGTGGTGTAGGGGTAGTGGCAGCAGAGATCACGTTGATTGGCGTCGGGGCTGGCCGGGGAGGATGTTATTTGGTAACGACTTTGGAGGCACTCTTGATCTTTGAGAGGGGAGGTAGAGTGGACACAGGGGTATTTGTACTCCGCGATAAGGGTACAGAAGCAGAGTCATGTGACCTTCAAGAAGCAAAAAAGCTATCCCCCTCCGGCCTTCGGTGAGACTGTGATGTTTGGATTATTCAGCAAGAACACGTGCTGATTGTTCGGGGGAGTCACCCGGGTAAGGTGGGAGGTCTTCGGGGAAGGTGGGAGTACATGGTGAATCCATGTCTTGATTGCACCGCCCGACCATTGATCCAGATAGCACACATACCTCGCGTTCATCGGCGATGCTGCTGAATAAGCCAGATATAAAGTCTTTCCAAGGGGGTTATCTCGAAAGGCTTCACTCTTGGCATATGTGGTGTCGATTGAAGACACTCTGTAGATGAAAAAGTCAGAAGCCGGTCTGATCTGATGCACAAGGGGCAATCAAGCGCTGAGTCAGTCTGTGGCCTGCCCATCCCCTTTCAATTTGGTTCGGCTTCTTGTAATTTGGTCTTCCAATGCCTCTCGCTGCATCATCATCCTGTACACCGCCGGTCAAACGAAATATCAGAATGACATTTGCGGCCAAAACCGTGGAAATGTCCATGCGACATCGGGGATTTTCTGTTTGGGATGTCATTCTGACATTTTCCCCCATTTTTCAAAAACATCTCACGGACATTCCGCGACCAGAATATCCCACGGACGTCTGCAGGGGCCCGAATGTCCTTGTGATATTTCTCCAAGGAGGATGAAATGTCCTTGTGATATTCTTTGGAGATGAAATGTCCGTGTGATATTCTTCAGAGGATACCTTTACATACATAACCACCATATGAAAAATGCTATATATATATGGTTGCTTGTTATGGTGCTGCTTTCTAAAACGGGTTTCCCATGCATTTGGTGGGTATATGTCATGTACAAGACTTTTAGATAGATATGACTACACCCTACTGCTCCAACAAGGCCCCTCATATGCGATCATATCCTCAATGTCGTTGTCCGCATCTTCGTCCTCAGTCATTACTCCATCATATTGTCGTCGTCTGATTCTACTTCTCCTTCCCTCCCCTCAACTTCGACTTCTGTTTGCTGGACAAGGCTTCCTTCCTCGTCCAACGAGTACTCACCTTCAGACAAACCATCAGAAACAGAATCGTCAGCTCCTATTATTTTCCTTCTTATAGACCCGCCAGATCGAGTCGTCATATAGACAGGGAACCCTTCTCTCCTGGCTAAGGGCGGTGCCGCGGAAGGCCTGCTCTCCATGACAGTATCCTGAGTTGTTGCTTGTAACTCCTCATGGCTTTCACCTCTCCCACGGCCACCTTCTTGCCTACGCCCTCGTTCTCGTCCATACCCTTGTCCTCGCCCTCGTCCTCTGATGGCGCCACAGCCACCTTGGCCTCCACGGACATTCCTTCCCCCATCACCAAAAGACCCATCTCCTTCCTCCGCATCTCCATCTTCATACTCTTCCTCTCCATCTCACAAGGCATTAATATTCTTGAGTGCTTCCCCCCTGGCGCAGCGCACAGCCAATGGGTCTTCGAGCAAGCGGCGAGGTCGGCAGAGGTCGCGTGGAAGGGCAGACCGAAGAACATCGACATTGTGAAAGGCGGATAAGTTGATCACAAAGCAGTCGTCGTTAAGATGGCGCACAGTCCGAGGAAATCTGTCGAGTGCGTGCAGAAGACACATCTTCAAAGACGATTAGAGTGATGATATGAGACAATCTGGTCCAGAACCCACCATCTTAGATTTCCAAGGCGCCCATTCGCTCTTTCTACTGGCCGATGGGAGTTGCGATCGGCTGTGTTTGTTCCATCTTGCAGCTACACAAGGTCAGCTCGAGTCCCAGAAACAGGAAAGACACTCACGATGTCTGCTATCTTCCACGGGATCGAAGCCCTCCATAATTTCTCGCTCAATATCTTCATCTTCACATTGTTGCCGTAAGTGTGCGACATGGGCTTCATGCACCTCGATTGTTATTGTTAAGAGAGTATCTTCGAATACCGGTTCATCGTCCGTATATGGGACAGGCTCCTGAGAGCTGTACGCAGGCTGCCCAGGGCTCAGGTCTTGAGAGAACACTGGAACCCGCGTCGCGTCGCGTTGAAACACTCCCTGCCACAACCGCGATTGTCTTTCGGTCTTTCAGCCTTTTGTGTGTGTGCCTTCACCTCCTCATTGTGTTGTTACTTGTTTTTGTTGTTGTTGTCTCTTTTGCTCCCTGTCCCATCCGCTCTTTTTCTATTGTTCCGAGCGCATATACAAGCTGTAAGATCTGTCTCTTTTCTGACAATATCCCCACCTTTGCTCACTTCAACTACCCAAGATCACACTCACCATGCACCGCTACCGACCCCTTTGCTGCTGACTATAACTTGGAAGACTTGAGCGATACTATTGAGCAGACTGATACCCCTGCCACTCCTCTACGACACAGCCCCAGAGGGCATCAGAGATCATCTGATGTGTCTGTAGAACGTCTTGGAACCTCCAGCGCCCAACATTGCCATGCTGGTAAGTTCCATTTGTGTGACCAAGACGTGGCTGACTCATGACAGCGGGGCCTGGTTCAAGATCTCGCTGCTCAGAAAACCCGTAAACGAAGCTGGGAGAGGCGACGGGCCTGTGAGTAGCAAGCTTTTTCTTCCAATGCTATGTTGAATTGCTTCGATACATACTTATGCTCGATAGGTGACTGTTGGCCAGCTCGTTGACCCCCGTCCTCCTGGTATGCACATATGTCTCTCAAAATGATGTCTACTAACCAACGCGTAGTGGATCCACAAGCTTCTTTGCCGGCACCCTCGCCAGGCGGAAGGCAGACGAGATGCGGGCTTCTCAAAGGGCCAGTAGCACAAGGGACGAGGAAGAGTCAGGCTCTGAGGAGCAGGCTGCAGAGGGTCCAGCTGCCAAGAGGGCTCGAAGCAGCCAAGGAGGGACAAGCGGGCACATAGAGAGCGCAAGCAGGGAGAGTAGTGCATGCAATAAATGTTCTGTAGATGTCTGATGGAGCGTGTCCGAGTGTCATTTTGATATTTGTAACAGCTGCATACAATGTCCACCAGACATTATGACATACCCTTGAGAATATCGGGTTTCCCATGCATTTGGTGGGTATATGTCATGTACAAGACTTTTAGATAGATATGACTACACCCTACTGCTCCAACAAGGCCAAGAACTCAAACAAATGAGAAGCACCTCCATTCTTGTTTACATAATGTGTAATGCCACATCATTTCAGAGTTTCGCAGAGCTCGCCGCATGCGC